TGTTAAAACACTAACGTACCGACACCACTTCCTACAAATTTATTGTATGCCGTAGTCTTAAAGTACTCAACTTTTGTAGGCTTCATTATCAAGGTTTGATTTAATAATTCCAAATAAATCGGGCATTGGGTAGATTGTTAGTGATAAAAATTAATGTATTTGTAGTATCCCAACGAGTAGAAAAATTAAATTTTCAAATCTGACGTTTCATGACTCAGTGTAGGACACTTCTCCAGAGAATAAATAAAATCTCGCAGGAAGTGGCTTATAATGAGTCACAAAACGTCAGAAAACTTAAAAATTCCATTTTTCTACTCATTGGGATATTACAAAAATATTGTTTTTATTCATATTAAGCTTTTCTTCATTTACAGTGTCGCCAGATCTTATTATTTAGTTCAACGTTTTATTTATTGTATTTAAAGTACAAAAGTGAACCTCTGGTTTTACTTTTTTAATACACTTTGGCAGTTCCGGATGGAATTGTCAAAATGGTCAATTCAGCAAGCAAAAGACGTCTTGGTAAATTAGATACATTTATGGTGCTCGAATATCTCTGGTATTCTGATTCCTTTCTAACTGACATATCTTTTGTGTAGTTCAAAAAACGTGCCTCCAGTGTCTGTTCTCACAGCTCTATTATTCATTGAGAAACTTGTAGTAGCCGATCCTTATTCATCTTTATTGACTGAAGTTACAGCAGTTGATCTTTTTGCTGTATCAATGGTTAGTGAAATGTGATGTAATTATTTTAACTTCTTCAAGGTAGTGGCATCTAAATATCTACATGACGATGATACGGACTATGGAATGTACAATGCCGAATGGGCAGATGAATTCGATATGGATCTCAAAGAGTTGAATGAACTTGAAGTCAAATTCGTTTCCGCTCTTAATTGGGAGTTTTTTGTAACTAGAGCACAAATACTCCAATTTGGTTTTGAGATCGGGGTCTTCCGTCAGATTACCAAGTGTGATTCATTTGGCGACAAACCTGAGTTCAATGTATATTCTATGTTGTCACATATTTCCCAAATCTTTTTGAAGTATTCTAGACACCGTACTTCACCCGAAATTAAGAGAGTAAGCAAAGTGAGTTTTTGTTTTCGCATGAACTGTGAAAGGTGTCCTGTTATTTATCAAGTGAAATATGATGTAGTATCAATTTGAATATTTATAATAACCAAATAACTGAATCTGCACATCTTTTAACTTACATCAAGTCATGTGTGTGCAATTAAGTTAGTCAACTATCTTGAATTATTTATTTCAACACATAGATATTGGTACAAAGAGGCACCAAATACGTATGCGCTACACAAATCTCATTCGATATGTGTGAGGGCTGTGATACTGCCCGGGTGCCCAGACCGAAACAGGTGGTTTTCTTAGGGGGCCACACCCCGAGCCTTCGACCTGAGGGTTGATCCACAAGGCAGTGGAGCATCGTAAGGAGATGCAGTCCCATGGTAGCCGGTGACCAACAATTGGTTCATACGCCATTTGTTCCCGCAGGATACTGGAGCCCATGTGCACCATTGGTTTGAAATCCAGTTAAAGCGCCGGACATTCGCTTTTCGTCCTCTCATTTTCGTAAACAACACCCCCTCCACGAGAAGGCAGTGAGTAGGACTTCCCTGGCAGAGGCTATATACGCGTGGCCATGTGAGAGCATTTCGAGAGGGAGAGTGGACTCTCCCCACTCTCGGCCGTACCAGGGCATTTGGGGGCATCTTGAATTACTCTGAGTCAGTGTTACGCTGATTTTGTGTGGATTATGGACTTCCACTAAAAGTTAACCAACAGGGAAGATGTTACATTTCGTGTATGGATGTAATGGTCAGCATTAAAAATTTGTCATAAGTCGATGAAGAAACTAACTAGCTGAATGCTTGTGTCGGCTATGATCAGTCTCTCAATTGTTTGAGAAGTAATAAAAGACTATTATTAATATTCAGTGAATTTTAGGTGTGAAATACATTCATTTTGCAACTTTTAGTTTAACTCAATCATTCTTGTGTTGATAAAGTTATAAAAAAGTTCAGTTTGTCTGATCGTCATCTGTTTATTTTCACTTTTAAACCGTAATTGTTTTACTTTCAGATTCTATTAGTCTTGGTGCTCGCTTATCTGGGTACTGACCAATTTTCTCAATGTTCTTTGGAGACACAATACGCTGATCAAAATCAAACACATCTTTCTACAATCGTTGTAGATCAATGTCCAGATAATATTCTGTCAAATATGACTCAGTCAGACGAACTAACAAATGTTAATAACCAAAATATTGAAGTATGTACAAAAGACTTGACATGCGGATATCATAGCCAACATGAATCCGTATCTTACTCGTATTTTAAAGAAACTGATCCGACTACACGAATGATAGTCTGTCCAACATGAAAGTTTACCCAATTATCTAATTCCTTAAGTATTTCCACTCAGTAAATCTTAATATTTGTCACTATTCAGGTACTCCGAGATTCTTAATGGTACTAACCTTTCTATTATTTTAATACCGATCTTCATCAGTTGTGTATATAAAGAAAATGTCTTGAATGTATCCTTCCCTCCACGCTTGTTTTTGATCGTTTTTAATGATTAATCTGAGCAAGTTATGCCAAATACTAAGTGAATGGGATGATATTGTTACTATCATATTTTTGTTTTTAAGGCACAAACAAGTGTCGTCATTATTAGTAGTCCTAATGAACGACCACTCAAGTGGGGACAACCGATTGTATTTTAGTGCGAAATTACAGTATCTTGATAAAATATAAAAACCGTACGTAAAATACTTCATTTTCAAATTTCCATCGCTTGTCCTTCACATTCTATATGATTCTTCCAGTCCATAATTCCTTTCTATTCTCTTCAACTTGATCTTCTGTTGCCCGGTTTTCGACTTCGATTGGTGTTACATACTACTTATGTCCGTCGACATAAGTGGCATACACTACACTCTCCCCTATCCTAAGGAATGGTATAACAAGAAGTTCGTAATCACATTAAAAATGGAATTTTATGTTGAATTCCTAAATTCCCAGTCATCAATTTTGACCGTTTTTGAAACTGAGTTAGTGTAGTGTATAATTTAGCTACGGTCAGTAAGCTGCGTTGCCGTTACCTGCCTTCAAAATCGAAGTTTTATTCGGCAGCTTAGTTATGATATCACTTTCTATGGAAAAGTGACTAAAATCCGAATATGTGGCGTAATTGGTTGCCGAGTCACGCCGAATTCAGTCTAAACGAATTGTAGTTTGTTAACATTTGAAGACCTATTACAAAGCATCTTTTCTTCACCATCTTATCCTCAGATTTCTCGCTCTGTTCTGTTATACGCTGGTTCTTCAAGTATTGCTGTATGTTCGCATAGTCTTGATATTAACAATGAACATATAATGTTGTTTTAAAACCCCTATCCATAGTTCTAAGAATAATTGCTTGATTATATACTGATATTGGTTCGTGGAAGAGTGCTTCCAAATCAAACGAACTCCTTACAAACCCACCTATGCAAATAATAATTACGTGTCCACTAAGGACGACTTCTTTCTTTCTGTTGGGGACGTTAGATCCCCAGAACTCACTTGGTAAAATGTCTGATTTTGTAATTTTATTTAGAATATTTGAGTTTCTTTGTTTTCACGCCAAAAGCGCTCTTGTCACCATGTCGTATTTCCCACTGAGAAATATCTTAAATGCTATTGGTTCGTTGTCTTTTAGTATGCTATCTGATAACTCTCCCCAAGGACGGTTTTGTACTGTATATGTACGTTTTGAATTGTTGTTATCGCTCGTTTCTGGCTGTTTGCAGAATATACTTCCCCATTCCAAGCTTGGACTTCTTCCTCTAGTTAGCGGGGCTGGGACGCATCAAATAGCTAGCTTACTGGTCTCTGGTTATTGAGTCTTTGTTCTCGTTCGCAGATTAAGTGAACTCGTGATAGCTCCAACTCTAGCACTTTCATCTTCTGATTAACCGTGTGAGAGCGTGATTTTTAGAGTTAATCAAGTTGAGCATGCGGATTACTCTTTTATGACATTGAGCGGTAGTTGCACTAGATCACAGACTAACCGAAGCTGGAAAACGTAGATCATTAGTATCTAATTAGTGGCAGGATGGTGCCGCAATGGATACAAAACCTACAGTTTGCGATTTTGTTTTAGCACGGACAGTTGGGAACGTGGACAAAGTAGGTGCTAAGAGCCTTCTATTTTGCATTTTTGTCGAAATTCGCAAGTCGCCACATTTTAGTGGTTCAAGTAGATAAATTTATGATAATTATTCGGCCAAACAGTTGGCAGATACATCGAGGACATAGGGATTCGAAATTAGTGTTTCAATGATCCTTGTGAACAGAAGTACACGGACCAGGAGTCCCGAATACTAAATGCTAAACTTGATTTACTGTATCTAAAATGATCGGTTCCGTAGTCGCTTAACGTCTAACTGCAGCCCTCAAGCGTGCTAGTTCGGCTGAGCGCAGGGATAAAGAGTCGGCTGTAGTACTTATCATCAATAGATATCTAAATGATTACTTCAGTGTACTACCCTTAACTCCCATCGTGTTCCAATTCGTACGAAACGCGTAAAAGACTTACTCATAAGGAACAAGTCATTTTTCGTTTAGATAGTGAATATACCGATTACGCCACCAACCCCATCAGATAATCCAGCATCGTCACATGCATAACACCAACAATCGTCGTTTCGTAACAACAGAACTGCCTTCCATTCGTTGTACACGATTTTACTATGGAAATACATGGATGCCTCCTAGGTTTATAAAGACGTCCTGGCGCACGTACAGCGATGGAGAAAGCCTCTATACTGATGTTCTGGGAATAGTTCTGACTTTTTTAGATTGCATCTAAACACAGCTAGGGAAATAAAAGCAGAGAAACTAGGGGAGTATATGTATCTCTATATGCGTATTTGGAGCAAATAGACACAAGACAAACGAGTAGCTTTTACTGTAATTGAATTAAGATTAGGTCTATTTATCATTGAGTGTTTCAAAATGTAGAGCTAAACAAAAAGTAGCCGAGGATTTTTGCTTCAAGATTTTAAAATATAGAGTAGCTGCAACTGAGGTTTGTGTAACTATATTTCAATAAAAATTTATGTGATGATTTTAGTGATTTATTCTGTACAATCAAATCTTTCAGTAACTTTAGCTAGTGAACTATCATTGTTTGCATACTGTTTTTTATTTGTCTCTCTTTCTCCTGACGGAAGTTCAACTGGTTGATTTTACGTATCTTTCGTCGCAGTTGACGGTGTTCCTTGATAGCGGCTTTACGTAAGCGCTTTTGTTCCAAAGACTCTCCCTTTTCTCTCATAAGTAACCCAGGGTCTAGCGGTTTTGGAAATTCCATAATACCATCGTTGTTTTGAGAACCTTCCTTCGTGGATAACTTCTTTTTTGTCTTACTAGAACTGGGCATTGTTAGATGGTTGTGCTTCATAACATTTAAGTTCGAATTACCTATTAAAAAGTACAGTTAAAAATCGAGCTAAAAAGTAATTATAGCTAGAACTGTATGGCGATTATATCTCTATATTCACACCTTGAATAACTTTAACTTATCACATATTCACTTAGAAGTCACGATCAACATAGAACCTAGCATGTGTCCACTAGCCAAAGTTTTCATAACACATTAGCACGACGAAATGAACAGCAATGAGGTCGAAATAATGAGACCAGTGATAATGAAACAGACTCAATATAAACAATATGGTTAATGAAGACCAAACAAAAAGGCATGAAGGAATACGGGAAATCTCGAGGAAAATAAAGAGGGAATGGATCTCCGTCATTGTAACCGATTCCAAGCTATACCATCTAATATCTTCAACTAATGAGGCAGTTGTTGAGAGGAATCGGATTGCAGATAGTGTGCTCATAGGACGGATGTTGACGCAGACCAGTCCTGAAATATTTTACATTCGGAGGGAAACACAATAAAAAAACTTGTTGGTATCTTCACCAAATAAGACTATCATCTGCGCACTAGAAGTCGATAAACAAACCTGGTAGGAGACCAAGTCCTGATAGGTTGTTTGAGAATGCCATTTCTAGGAGAACATAGACGACAAAATTAGATGAGATGGGAATAACGGAAAACCTGGAAACTATTAATCGCTGTTTCTTGATATCAAGGCCGTCTTCAGTCAGTCGGGTAGGGTTGTGTTCTAAGACCACCTGTTGAAGAAGTGTCTTGAGAAGTTAATTAGCATCTTGAGTTTTTTACGTAGACAACTCAGGTAGACTGAGAGGATACACCACATCTCTCCACTTTTTCATTCCAGCAGCAGGGTTAGGCAGAGGTTCTTAGTCTCATCATCCCCCAACTTTGCCACTGGCGAAATTCTGCAAACGGAGTGGGTGGTGGGAGTCTAGATCTGTTGCCTGGAGTGGAACCTGACTAAACTAATGACACCGTATTTTGTGCAACGATACCAATTACTGATTTACTACTTTTCTCTCCTTTATTCACGGTATTATAGCTTTATTTCTGAAGTGTTTCGGTGGTTTACTTTATCAGGGATTATTTGCTTAGGTAGATATATTAGACCCGACCGTTGTTGCTACCTTGACGTGGTGGTCGGGCTTGCCTATCGTCATGAAGCAACCGAGCTATACTGGCTGGAACAACCGTTCCTCAGGGTCCTACCATGTCAGACAGGTCGGTTGAAGAGCGGTAAGACTAAAAGCAACAAACCTAAGGTCCGAAGGCGAAGTCGTACTGCTGACTGTACAGGGGTGTGACAGCAGTAAGGTGTTTCCTTCAGACAACCAGCATGACAGCGATGCTGCCTTCCCAAAAGGAGGGGTGGGGTTAGAAAAGGTCGACCCTAAGAATGCACACCTCACCTTACCTCAAGGATTTCCGTCTCCGGCGGTAAGGCTCTTTGAAGAACGGAGCTAACACGTCAAAAACCTTCCACGAAAAGGCCGTGCGCGACCGGCCTCAAGCAGTTGTCCCTTGGGCACTGCGGTCACGCTCTCAGGTCGCTGAGACCGCCTCTAATCCAATTTCCTTTTCAGGTACCTCCGGAAGAAACCTTCCATGATGTGGGCAACCGGGAAGTGATAACCGCCATCATACCTCTAACAGCACCCAAGACCACTGTATTCAAAATCAACCTTCCTCTTCAATTCCTATTATTCCTCCTACATCGACTTTCAACCCTAAACTTCCTCCTTCGGCTTCTTCCTCAAGTGTCACCATAGCCAACGATTCTAGTGCTCAAAACTCTGTCCCAGTTCTACTGAAACCTCGCTCCAAACTACACATTGGAGCCTTCAACGTACGAACCCTATGTCAAATCGGTCAACAGGCTTCCTTGGCTAGAACCCTGGAGTCTCTTACCACTGATGTGTGCTGTGTCTCCGAAACACGCATACAGGATTCCAGTGTGGTTATTCACTTGACCTCACCTCGGCAAAACGAAGAGCCAACGAGATACACCCTACGTGTATCTGGTGACCCGATGGCCAGTTCTCGTGGACTGGCAGGTGTAGGCATAGCACTAAGCATGAAGGCGGAACAAGCACTGCTAGAGTGGATCCCCGTCAACAGTCGTCTATGTGCTGTTCGGCTAAACGGCTCCGTAAGAACTCGAAAGGATAGGGACACACGTCGTTGCCTTTTTGTCGTTTCTGCCTACGCTCTCACTGACTGCAGCTCAGATGATGTGAAAGATGAATTTTACAGAAAGCTTTCTGAACTTCTTCAGAAAGCTAAACGCTCAGACATAGTACTCGTAGGGGGTGACGTTAATGCTCAGATAGGTAGCTTAAACCAAACAGAAAGGCATTTAGGTGGATATTTTAGCATTCCGGCACAGCAAACAGATAATGGTGATCGTCTGCTGCAACTGTGCTCAGACAATCGCTTATTTTTAGCAAACACAAATTTTAAGCATAAGGAGAGACATCGTCTAACATGGCGACCCCCTACACCAAACCAACGATGGACTCAAATAGACCATATTGCCACCAGTCATCGTTGGAGAGGGTCGGTAGAAGATTGTCGCTCATTCTGGAGTACGTGCTTGGACTCCGACCACGCCCTAATACGGGCACGCATCTGTTTGCGCCTCACCGGACGCCACATTAGAACTGAGTTGAGTAACGAGAAAACCAAAAATAGGTTCCAAGAACAACTGAGTTCACACTTGGGTAATTCTGAAGACGAGGCTGACCCAGATGTTGCTTGGAAAGACATACAAGCAGCTGTGGAAGCAGCAGTGACATCTATTAGCGACTTAAACCACAGAGTTTCAAAGGACCCGTGGATTTCTTCAAAGTCTATCACACTGATGGATTCTCGCAAACTCGTCCCATCAGGTTCCGAACATGATGAAGAGCGACAAAAAATCAGATCTAGGTAAAGAAAAAAGTCTAAGAAACGACCGTGAGCAGTGGTGGGCAACGAAAGCAAAAGAGATGGAAAAGGCGGCGACTATAGGGAACACAAGACAACTTTACAGACTAATAAAAGAAACTGGAATTGATAAGTCAAGTGTAAGTGAGATTATATCGGAAAAAGACGATACTCTCATCTATTCCCAGTCCAGACGTTTAGAACGATGGGCGGAACACTTTAGGGAACAGTTCAGCTGGCCTTCAGCGACTCTACAACTACCCTCCATTCCCAGACAGCGTGAATGGAACATTGAAGTAGGTCCCCCAACTCTTGCTGAAGTTCAAAAGGCTATAGATAATCTGAAACGAGGAAGGGCAGCTGGACCAGATGGACTGGTTCCAGAAGTCTTTAAAGATGGTGGTCCAACTTTAGCGGTTAGGTTGACTAATATTTTAGCTAAGATCTGGGAGTTAGACGTTATTCCATCTGACTGGTCACAATCACTTATCGTCCCAATATATAAGAAAGGGTCAAAATCATCTTATGACAACCACAGAGGGATTAGTTTAACTAATATAATATCTAAAATACTAGCCTTAATAATAATCAGACGCCTAACTAAGACTCGTGAACTGCAAACACGAGAGAATCAAGCTGGCTTCAGACCTGGTCGTGGCTGCATCGACCACATATTCACCATTCGTCAGGTTCTAGAACATAGGCATACTTATCAGCGTCCGACAATGGTGGTCTTTCTTGACTTAAAAGCAGCATTTGACTCGGTAGACCGCGAGATTCTGTGGCAGTGTCTGTCATTGAAAGGCGTACCCTAGAAGTACATAAACCTTGTAAAGGCTCTTTACTCGAACACTACTAGTCAAGTGAGAGCTTATGGCGAACTGTCATCTAGTTTTGCAACCTCAAGTGGTGTCCGTCAAGGATGTCCACTTTCCCCATTTTTGTTTAACTTCATCATAGATCTACTGATGGAAATAACATTCTCGTCGACTGAGTTCTCGGGTATTGATCTCCATCCAGGAGGTCCACTTATCGACTTAGAATACGCAGATGACATAGTCCTGTCTGGTGAAGACGCTGACAAAATGCAGAGTCTTCTGGTAGCACTAAGCAACAATGCCAGGATGTTTAGAATGCGCTTCTCTCCCTCTAAATGCAAGTTGTTGCTTCAGGACTGGCCTGCGTTAACACCTGAACTAAGGATAGGGAGTGAAGTAGTCGAACGCGTTGACAACTTCACTTATCTTGGAAGTCTGATCAGCCCTAATGGGCTGGTATCGGACGAAATCTCAGCACGGATTCGAAAAGCTCGTTTGGCTTTTGCCAACTTACGTCACCTGTGGCGAAGGCGAGATATCCGTCTATCAATAAAAGGACGAGTATACTGCGCGGCAGTCCGTTTTGTTTTAATTTACGGCAGCGAAACATGGCCATTAAGAGTAGAAGACACTCGTAATCTACTAGTATTTGACCACAGATGCCTTAGAAATATTGCTGGCGTCTGCTGGGATCACCGGGTAAGTAATAGTGAGGTTAGACGCAGGGTATTAGGAAATGATGGTAAATCAGTTGATGAGGTTATGAATCTTCATCGACTGAGATGGTTGGGCCACGTGTTACGTATGCCTGAACACCGATTACCACGACGTACAATGCTATCCGGTATTGGAAATGGTTGGAAGAAAGTTAGGGGCGGCCAAACCAAAACGTGGCATCAGTGCTTGAAGTCACTAACTTCTAGTCTGAGCCATGTTGGTAGATGCAGACTACTTGGTTGGGGTCCGCGTGACTATCGTAACCGATGGTTGGGGACTCTTGGTGACATGGCTCAGAATCGATCACAATGGCGTCGGTGTATACACTCTCTGTTTTCCCTTAAACTAAGAGATTAAAATCGCTTCATATCTTTCTTTCTACGAACCAATTCTTTCTTCTTGTACTATATCTCTATATGCAATCTTTCTCTTATATATTACCACCTTTTACCTAACCACTGTTATGAATCTGGTGTTCATCTTGTGCTGATGCGGTACGGAGATTGTTGAATTTATACTTTGTATCATTTTAGTTAGATAATCAGAAAGCATTGGAAGTTTACTTAGTTTTATTATAGGACTCCACAGCAGTGAGTATCCACGACACCACAAAATATCTAACTCAAGACCTAACTTTTCGGCCACTGAGTTAGCATTTAGTGACCTACATTCCCAACTTCGGTCAATTCACGATCATCATCCAGTTGAATCGGTGATATTCGTCCCACACCTGGCAGTTTTTCAAAATGTCATATCAGCGCTAATAAATGTTAACCCACCAACTCATATACATAACTAGTGTATTTTCTTGAAGTAAAACGCTTTTTTGTTACTGTTTGCATCACGAAAATGCGTTTGAACTAATAAAAATAAGAAAAATGCTTACTGTTAGAGTATGAAATGGTCATTCGTTCAGTGTTTTCTCCGTCATATGTAGAATTGCTTCCACTGTCTTCGTCTTGATCCACTCCATTCAATTCGAAGCATTTTTTTATTGTTATGGCTTTTAGATCATCATCAAAATCCGTATGATCTTGTTTTACTCCTCTTAAATAAACAAAATGAGGATTTGATGTGAAAAATAGTTACTCCTATAATATATCTATATATAAGCGTAAATGTGCATACCAGCTGACCAACTACGATATAACTGTTAACTCTATAGACTTGTTCATGAAATTTTTCTGATGCATAGAAATTAAATAATAAGTGTGGAGTGTCTGTTTCTTCCTACCCTAGGAATGAATAAGTAAACACTGTACGATTACATACTTTACATCTTCCTGTCGAAAACAATTGTTACTCGGTATCTGGACCCAAGTTTATACATTAAGCTTCAAGTCGCACTTATGAGAGAACGGCCAATACCAAGGTAAATGGAACCCACTTTTAAACAATAACTATCAATAGCTGATTGTTTAAACCACTAAGTCACAGAGTTCCATTTTGTGGACAGTAAAGTACTAATGTAGCTTTCACATACAAACCTTACCAGCTGCAGCAATAATAGAGGTGAATTGCAGTTTATAATTTCGTTTCATCATCGCGACCGCCTACTTTTTGGATTTACATTCATTAACAGCTATATTTTCCAAATAAACGACTTACTCCTTAGCGATTGCTATGTCACGACCAAGAGCATATTTCAAGCCTTCGCTCATCACTGACGTTCCAGAGACTAAAGACTGACTGCAACTTGACCGGGATTTGTATCGTAACATTAACTAAAGTCATAGTATGAGTAATCGAATTCGTAAATTACCTTTTCGAACTCTTTATTCAAGGAGGTTGAGTCATCTGAGTAGTCATCGATTCCATAACCCTTGGTAAATTGACCGGAGCTCGAAATTGTGATGTCTCCTGAATTTTCATTCGCACCGTAAAGAAAACGTTCCATGAGCGCGACTTTATCTTTAGAAACCCTTGAGATATCTGTTTTTGTTGCCTTTGCATTCAATGGATTGCTTTCCCCAGCCACTTTAGCATCATCACTATCGGTTTCTGAAGATTTTACACTGTGACCACCTGCAAGCTCTACAAAGTTATCCTCTAATTCACTTTCCGTGTCGAAAGACTCTGCTTCTGAATCCATATTAAGGTCACTTATAATATGTTCATCGTAATCAACTTCAGGTTCACGTATTTCAGATGAGTCAGAATGACTAGAAGCATTGCTGACACAATCTTCAGGTATTACAGATATAGTCTGGAAATAAAGTAAAGATAGATGACTGTAGGACATGAGAATGGTATGGAATAAAAGTTATGTCTGAACATTGTACAGGGTATCACATGTTATAGACGGGTAATTCACGTGATCCTATGTCATAAAAATACCTAAACCATAAATCAACACAAACTACGATGAGACCATAACTTGTAGACGACTTTTGAGAGATTATAAGGTAACCTTGGTAGAGTTCAACTACTTAACAAAACCGGAATGTGACTGCAAACTATTGAGATTAGGAAAAGTCACCAGCATCGTGATTAGGGTTTGGGAATTATTCACAGTTTTCATTACGAACTGACATCAGCTGTAGCGCTAGGACCCTATTTAGTCAATAAATAAATAAATTTCATCCAGATATACAAGCGCTATCTTAAATCTGATTGGTTGGTCAATGAAAAAACATTTTACTGTTCCGCAGTTTCACAGTCTGTGTTTATAGGACAAGAATGAAAAACGTTGCCTTTAAAGTTAGCAGAGGCTACCTTATTTTCATAAGTTACGTCAAAAGACTAAATTCCGGAACTTACGTAGGCCTCTTTATTATCAGCAGATTTGAGATGTTGCATGTAGTCGTAACCATCATCAAAAAACACTCCATAGTTAAAATGAATAGGGACTCCTGGCAAAGGTTTCGATAATTCTTTTTCGACTGGCTTTAGTTCACACTGCTTGAAATCCTTTCTGTTGAATCTTTTCATCATGAAACACCAGTTGATTTGTCAGAGAGAGCTAGATGTGCCGAACGTGGTGCGGATAAATTACTGAAATGACCGCCTATGCAACTCCTAGGTCCATCCACACTATTACGTCACAGTCCTATTTGCCGCCCTTCAAAGTTCAGAAGGTTCTGGACGGAATAGAAGAAGATTTCACCTTATGAACTTACGTATCTAGTAGCAGTGGATGACCGATACTAATAAATAATAACCTAGGTATATTTCATGGCTGAAAAGTGAGAAAAGCCGTATTAAAAAGGGAAGTGATTTTCATACTTGTGATTATCCTTGCTTTAGGTACTTGTTGCACCAAAAAGCATTCTTGGTCTAGTTTAACTAAAAGTACTTTGGTTAAAGTTTGTAATTTTTTGCTCAACTTTGTCCTGCGGTACCTTTTTTGACTCCTTGACTGACACTAGTGTTCACACTGTGATCATTCTGTGTTTTAAACCTTTTTAGTCAAAATCAAAATGGTTGGTAAGACTCATAAATGTGGACAACCAAACTGCTTGTTCCCTGTTGAGGAATGGATGCAGTGCGATGATTGGAAAAAGTGGTATCATAAGATGTGTACACGCCTAAGTCCTATGGCTTAAAAAAGATGCTCGAAGCCTAACTCACACTGGCTTTGTATGTTATGCTGTACAAATAATAAGTTACTAATTCAGGAGGCTATGACCCTATTGGCTTTGGCCTGCAAGAAAAACGATGGCGGTAGTGCTAGTAACACGAGCACTGACGGTGAAGAATGTGTTAGTGTAGTAAATGCTGCTACCGGACCCACTAAACACCCGACTGCGATTGACGAGAAAATGAAATCTTCGTTAATATTAACGAGGAGTGAAGTGTAGCTAGATACTAATATCGGCAATCATACACCTCTAGTCGAAATTGAAGACCCTGATAAGATTGTAGTGGCAGTTATTATGTTAAGCCCATATACCTTATTCTAGCTTTCGGACATCCCATTCTATTCATTCTACTTGAGCCATACTTTGACCTTGTTGTTTATTCGCTTATCTAGACTGTTTTTATATGAGCGTATATGTGTGTGCCCTTCTTATCCCATTAATCACATGTCTGTAGCTTATTTTTGTCTGACTATAAATATTGAGTAACGCTTGACTAAAATGGAGTTGGCTTCCCAGCCATCTTCCCTGCGTGTCGTTTTGCTTTGCTCTGTTTCATTCGCTCCATATACAAAATATATGTATTCACAAATCAATTCTCGCTATTTGACTTGTTTCATTTAGTTATTGGCTAACGCGATTAAGTCAACGATTATATACGAGAATAGGCGATAATAATCATTCGTACGAACTTGGAGTCAGATCCACGGGCCACTAAAAGACTGTCACCGTTCCAAATAGTCCCGGTGTGGCTGTTCTGAGTGGTGATAAATGGACTTCAGTACGGAGAAAAAGAAAAAGAAATGAGAATAAAAAAGCTGTAGGCAAACCCAGCTGGTCGGCAACTCATTGAAAGAGACGTTATCAGAAGCAAAAACTCCACAACGTGACAAGACAGATCTCTCCGAGAGATCAGTCATTTTTCATAAGTTGAGAGAATCTTCCGATAAAGAACCAAAGGCTAGATTTGAACACGATCTCAATCATATTAAGTCCTTAATAAGTAAACCACTCCCAGATACAGTTTCAGGAATTAGTATATATAAGCTTTATAGAATAAGAAAAAAGATGGATTCTGAAAGTTCTCAGAAAAACCGCCTCTTGAAGGTTGAATTTGCCACGGTTGAACAAAGGAACCTGATTCTAGGTAACTCATGTAAACTAATTGGATCCGGAAGATACGTCTGTAAGAATCTCAACCTAGCTGATCGTATTAAGAGGCGAGCTGCAGAAGCGTGAATAAATGAGCGTCGCCAAAACAGTGAAAGAAACCTCGTTCTTAAGGGTTTTCAAATTGTAATAGTTCGGAGACAAAACGGTCCCCAAGCCACTTTGGGTGGTAAGGGAAAGTTTTCCAGAGACTTAAAGGTATGCTACACAAATGCTTGCAGCCCACCAAATAAAATGGCGGAGCTCAAGTCAATGGTGGATAAAGAAAAACCGGATGTCATTGCTGCCTCAGAAACCTGGTTAACGTCAGAAGTATTAGATAATGAAATTCAGTTGACTGGTTTTTTAACTACCAGGGCTGGTAGATTAAACCGTAGGGGAGTTATCCTGTACACCAAAAGTACTTTAATCATAAGAGTAGCTGAGACAGTGGCACATGTTTCAGGGACATGTGAACTGGTGCGATTTAAGCTAAAATGTCGACGGCAAGATATCGAATTAGTTGTAGTATATCGCAGTCCAGATTGTGTATACGATTTTCTCCTGGGTAATCTTAAGTCCTGGTGTAACAAGGGTAAAAGCATTGTAGTAGGTGACTTTAATGCACCGTATGTAAACTGGGTTAACTTAGAAAAGTAGGGTCATCGATAACGTCGTTCGATTGCAAACTGTTAGAAACCTTGATTGGATTAGCTTTATTCCAACACATTAGAAATTCTATACGATATGAATTAAAAACTCTTCTTCTGTTTTAGACTAAGTCTTCGCAGACAGTGATGACGTTGGTCAAATGACTTTCCTCCCACCACTAGGGAGAAGTGACTATGCAGTCATCTTATTCAAATTCATGGCTGAGATGGCTTTTCAAACAGTTGCGCCGACCCGTCCTAACATATGGATGGCAGATATGGAGGCAATCAACTCTATCCAATCAACTCTCTTTTCCTTTGTCCTCCAGGATTCGAAGTGAAGACTTGCCTTGTGACGCAGTTTGGTACTTTCCTCAATGTGTGTCTCATCTAGTTTCAGCGATTCTTCCCGACTTCGTCCTCCGCTGCGATCTGGTTTGTTCTCATCCACAGTAGGTTGTTGCTAATAGTGTCCGGCCAACGGATCTGAAGTAATTTGTGTAGACAACTATCAATAAACACTTGTATCTTCTGGATGATGGCTTTCGTAGTTCTCCAGGTTTCCGCCCCATACAGTAGAACTGTCTTGACATTTGTATTGAAAATCCTGACCTTGGTGTTGGTTGACAGTTGCTTTTAGTTCCAGATGTTCTTCAGTTGTAAATATGCTGCTCGTGCTTTGCCGATCCGCTCCTTCACATCTGCATCAGATCCACCGTGTTCATCAATGATGCTGCCCAGATATGTAAAAGTTTTTACATCTCCCAAATCTTCTCCATCAGTTGTGATTGGATTGGTGCATGCTGTGTTGTATCAGACAATCTTGCTTTTGCCTTTGTGTATATTGAGACCTACTGCTGCTGAGACTGCTGCTACACTGTTCGTCTTCGCCTGCATTTGTTGTTGCGTTTGGGATAGAAGGGCCAGATCATCTGCGAAGTCCAGATCGTCCAACTGCATCCTAGATGTCCATTGTATCCCGTGCTTCCCTTCAGATGTTGACGTCTTCATGATCCAGTCGATCACCAGGAGAAAGAGAAAGGGTGAGAGTAAGTAACCTTGCATGACACCGGTCTTCACTTCGAACGACTTTGTCAACTGTCCTCCATGCACGATTTTGCAGTGTAATCCATCATATGAACTCTGTATGATAGTGACTATCTTCTGAGGCACGCCGTAATGTCGAAGAAGCTTCCATAGTGTTGTTCTGTTCACGCTGTCAAATGCTTTTTCGTAGTCAATGAAGTTGATTTAGAGTGAAGAATTCCATTCAACTGAGTTAATACAGTACTAGTTATAAAATTAACATTTTGGGATAAGTGGTAACTCACACTTTTTTCACTCCTATTCTCTGTCTCAAAATTGACATGAATAGATATGAGAAAATAAACATACACAAAAAAACCTTGATGTTCAAAGGACGATAGAATTCGTTTATCTTCATAACTGCGATTTATTTTCAGACGCGTCATTTAGTCTATGATATTGATATCTTTTTGGATTGTCTCCGATTTTATATGAATACCACCATTTTCCTGATCTCTGCATATGCCAATTAGCAAAACATGTTTTAAAATAGCAGTTTAAAATCACAACCCATAGTGCAAATATTTTAGCTGATTTTGATTCACAACTTACCCGACCTAAACGTGTTTTTTAAACTGAACAACAACCAATCTGCTATTAATAACCTAGGATATGGGACAAATGTGAATCAGCTTAAGCTTTTACAACTTGGATAAACAGCGAGAGAAAACCAATGGCATATAGTAAACAACTAGATGTAGTAGAAGGACAGATACGAACTTGATACGCTGAAGTCCTTCAAGATGATTAATAAACAATCAAATTCAAATCTTTTGAAATTTGTCGGAGCGATAGCAATCAAACGTTTAAAACTAGATCTTTGTATACAAAACGAAACAGTAATAAATCTTTCTACGCCCTGGCAACATTACTCCCCCCCTTTTTATTTATTACGTTATTCCAACTCTTTCTGAATTTTAGAATTACATCATTCATAACTGACCAACTTCAATTCATATATCTCTTTATTACCATTAATATATTTTCAGCTGTTTCATTGCATAATAATCTAATGTGTTTTAATTCCATGATTTCTAATCACTATTTCAATGTTTTGGAACTTTCCTTTTCAAACTCTATTTATTCGAAACAAAAATTTTATGACCTCATTAACTCTATTGGAATCTTCGCTACATCATGATACACATATATTCATCCTTAATCACCCTCTTATGTATAAGTATGTCAATATCTGCAATAACTCTGAATTTCAAATATTTTAGGTTGCAAGCAGCTGATGAGGACCTAACGAAATAAAATGAATTCATATTATTCTGCACTAAACTTTGTTCTTGTTCTTTTTAAAATAATAAAGGGAACTATGTGTATGAAATTTCGTAATCGTTGGAAGGTGTGCCGTCTACCTGTAAACGTGTATTTTCATCAATTAATCTCTTCTTATTCATATCTACTAACAAGTTGTACGCGCTGAGGAAATCGGCTCCGATGATGGGTTGTTTGACGTGAGCTACTATGAAAACCCATGTAAATTGTCTACGGAGTCCGAGGTCTAATATTAATGATTGCTCTCCGTATGTTTTGATAATTGAATCGTTAGCCGCTACTAAGGACAATTTAGTGCCTGTCGTCTGTTGTCTGCGTGAGAGGTGGGGGGGATG